AAGGAACACTCCACTATTTTTGAAAATAGGCTCATTTTCCAACTCCCCTAGAGTTAAACAGTTGAGTTTTACCATTTACGAATCCATTCAGCAGATCTCCGGGTCTGACGGTAGCAGTTTTAGCTGTAGCTTAGCATAGATCATTGAATCTGATTAGACCATTAGTATCTCGCTCAAAAATGACCAAAGAGTTTCGATATTTTTCCTATTTAAAACTTGACTCTTCTGTAGTTACATCGTGTACTAAGACCGACGGAAAATGAAAAGTTGCGATTTTCTAGGCCGATATGGCTAGGAACTATACTCTCATTCCGGCGTAATAATCAAGGAACTTTGCTGCCATACCATGGGTGCAGCAGGCGCAATGATATTACGCAGCACCTGAAAATAGGCTAACTTATTACGCCGGAATGAGAGTATAGTTCCTAGCCATATCGGCTTAGAAAATCGCAAATGTTCATTTTCCGTCGGTCTTAGTACACGATGTAACGAGTCAAGTTTTAAATAGGAAAAATATCGAAACTCTTTGGTCATTTTTAAGCGAGATGCTAATGGTCTAATCAGATTCAATGATCTATGCTAAGCTGCAGCTAAAAGTGCTACCATCAGACCCGGAGATCGGCTGATTGGATTCGAAAACGGTAAAACTCAACTGTTTAACTCTAAGGGAGTAAAGCTATATATCTTTTCCTCTTCCTCCTAAAGTTAAGGAGGTGAACTTCAAAAGTTTAAAATGAGATTTATCCTACCAATGAATTTTTAAGACTGAAATTTAATTTGGATGTGAATAATTGTGTTTTATGTGAAACGAATATTGAAAATCTAGAGCATGTTTTCTTTTGTTGTGATTTGGTGCAACTTTTTTGGAGAGATGTACAGAACTGGCTACAGTCTAGAGAGGTTGAACTCCCACCCCTTACGATGAAGTTAATTAGGTTTGGTATTTGTCTGGAAAACAAAGAGTTGGATTTTGTTATTAATTTCTTGCTTTGTCTTGGAAAGTTTTTCATTCATAAATGTAGATGGTTTAAATCTAAACCAAACTTTAACCAGTAGATGAATGAGGTTAAAATTTTGGGCAAATCTTTACAATTGGTTAAAAACAAGAAAGCTCTCAAATTGATTTTGTTTTTGGGGCATGTATAAACTAATGTAAAAAGCCCCTTTTTGTTTGTTTTATTTGTTCTATTTATTTATTTTTTTTTATTTTCTTCTTTATTATTAGTTTATTGTGATCTTGTTTGTCACTGGTTATGCTCAACCTAAGGTGGTTCACGTGTTGTTAGATTATGTGATGTGTTTATGTACCTTGTTTGTTTGTTGTAAATGGAAGCATAATAAAAAAATAAAAATAAAAACCCAGCGTTACAATATGCCATAATTCCAGCCAATCAGAGACGAGGCTGCTAAATTCTGATTGGCTGCCTT